TGCCTGCCTGGCAAGTGCGAAGTCCTGAGTTCAATTCCTGGTAGGAAAAAAAATGTCCAAGCTGAGCATGGTGACACACACTTGTAATCCCAGCACTTGGGAGGCTGAGAAAGGTGGACTGCCATGAGTTTGAGCCAGCCTTGGCTATATAGCAAGACCCTGCCTCAACAAAACGAAACAAACCAGCCAAAAAACCAAACAAAAGTATGTTCTCCATTTTGTTGGAGTGGAAGAAAAACAATCTAAAGTTAAAAACATCACAAATCTCTCGGGTGTGGTGGTGCATGCCTGTAATCCCAACTTTCGGGAGCCTGAGGCAGGAGGATCGCTGCAAGTTTGAGGTCAGTCTGGGCTACACAGTGAGTTCAAGACCAGCCTGAACTACATAGCAAGATCCTGTCTCAGACCCTAAACTAAGCAAAAGGACAAAGCCAAAGACCCTAAGCCTAGATGGTAGTTGGCCCCTGATGCTTACCATGATTATCATTAGAGCTTATTTGTTTTGGCTCTAGTGGGCCTTTGGCCTGATCACACATGTCACCCTTTTAGCTCCTCCTCTGGCTGGCATGGAGACTCCTGAGCCCCACTGCTGACAAGCTGGGAGACACCGGGAAGGTAGGGGCCTGCAGACCCTGCAGCCTAATGACTGCTGAGTCTCAGTAAACCAACACCTGGGCGAGAGGCGTGGAGGCTGAGCATTCCAGGTGAGGATGGGGATTGCAGAAGAGGGCGGGGTGGGTGCTCGTGATGGAGCAGAGCTGGAGACCTGGAGACGGACTCTGAGGGAAGGGCGAGCACTTTGGTTCTTGAAGCAAGGAAGTGGGCCGATCTGAGGGCCGATTCAGCAGGAGTCCTCTCTGTCTTGTTGTTGCAAGACAGCAAATGGGTGCTGAGCAGAAAGAAGGCTTGCTGGTGAATCCGAGAAGGAAGGTAAACAAATCGGACCATGGCAAAGAAATTTTTGATCTGAGGAACTGGAAAGAGAAGGCATGATTTTTGTGCTCAGTGCATTAGTGAATGAATGAGCATAGCTTTTCCGCAACTATTATTGATCCGGACCCAAGATTTCAGGAACTTTGTGTCTCCATTGATGTGCCTGATAAATGAATGCAGAATCCATTTGAGCTACATGCGTTCTTGCCAAGTGTGGTGCCTAGCACCTGTGATTCCCTTACTCCGGAGGCTGAGGCAGGAAGACCGTGAGTTTGAGGCCAGCCTGGGCTACATAGCGAATTCGAGGCTGGCCTGGACTTAACATAGCGAGATCCCGTTCAAACGAACAAAAAGAAGTTTTCTCTCAGTGTCTAAATGATTCCTTCCAGTGAAGGGAGTGGGGAGCTGCGGGAGTCCAGGCTCCCAAACCCGGCTCTGGAACTGCCGGGGTCCCACCTGCAGAGTAACAGGGCACCCTGCGCCCCTCAGGGCAAATGAGCCTCCACCACCCACACAACAGGTGCTGTGCTGCAAACTGACTTCACTGAGTGTCCTTCATCCAGTCAGGCTGAAGGAAAAAAGCACATTCTCGAGACTTTAACTCAGCATCGTTCACTGAAAGCCTTTTATTGAAATTCTGCTGAGTCAAAGCAGGCTCCTATATGACATCACCGAAATTTAAATTGAAAGCAGCGGAGCCCCACGCTTTGTTCCCTGCTAAGAGGACCCTCCCTCCTCCAAGGGTGCCACCTGTTTCCTGGCTGCCTACAACAAGGGAACTGTGCTCAGGGAGACTTGATGGGCATTTAGCCCTCACAGTCACCCCACGAGAAAAGGGCTACGATCACCCCAGATTGTGGTCGCAACAGTAATCAGTACAGGTGGGGAAAGGATAGTACAGGACTCATCCCTCCCGGGCAGGGACCGTCAGAAAAACTGTCCCCATTCACAACAAGGTGACCTCCTGGGCTACTTCTACAGAAATCAACCTTTTCTGGGAGGAAAACATGGCACAGACCGAGATTTGGGGCCCTGGGAACCGTGTTCCGGGAGGCGAGGTGCAGGTGGGGTGTGACAAAGACTCCAAGGAAGGAAACATGCAGGTTTTTCAGAGCTTCTACTTCACATCAGAGTCACTCTTTTACCCTGAGATGGCTTTAGTAAGCTCATCTTTATAGGCGAGGAAGCTAAGGCATAGATAGTGCATAGGGTAAATGATTTATCCAAGGTCACACAGGTGTCCTCAAGAAGAGATGCCAGAATCTGTCACCGGGTCACATGATTTCACATTCCTGAAAGAGCTCACTTGAGGCGCAGCCTGGGGCCACTGAACAGAAAGTCTGTGCTGCACAGCCTGCCATCCTTCTGTGTGTGCTGGAATATTTTTAAAAAGCTGCTGCCAGGTGTGGTGGCGCCCGCCTGTGATCCCAGTACACGGGGGTGGGGGGCTGAGGCAGGAGGATCGCTTCGAATTTGAGGACAGCCTGGATGACGTAGTGAGTTCAAGGACAGCCTGACTCCATAGCGAGACCCTGTCTCAAAAAAACCAAAACCCAAACCAAAACAAAAAACCCCTGTCCCTTCTGTTATCCAGAATGTGATCATTCCATTTTCCTGGCATAGCTGGACCATTTGCTTCTCTCATTTCATTTCATTTCATTTCTCTGCTTGTATAGTTCCTCTATGGCGCCAAAGGGAGAGCACATGAACCATCTGCTTGGCATCTTGGGGAGATGTTTTATAGGGGAAATGACTAAAGTCACTTGCTAATTTCTCTCTCTTTCTCTCTCTTTCTGTCCTTTTTGACAACTGAACTTGAACCAAGGCCTTTGCACTGAACTACACTCTCTACCTTTTTAAAATTTTGAGACAGGGTCTTGCTAGGTCTCTAGGTTACCCAGGCTGGGATCAAATTCAAGATTCCTCGTGCTGGGATTACAGCTTGCACCACCCCACTGGGCTCATTGTTTCCTTCTTGGATTATCCGGAACCCACGTTAATTCAGCTAATGGGCCACACCTCAGGTTCCGTTCGGAGTGACACAGGGACGGAGCCTTTCAGCAGATGCAGCTCCGGGCGAGGCGCTCACAGACTAGGGACGCCGGCATGTGGATTTGGTTGTGCAAGTATTAGTAACCGCCAGCGGTAACTGGCTCACTGAGGCTTGGCGTTCCAGGGACAATCACACTGTCAGGGCTCAGCTCTGTCTTCGCCCCGCTCACCCCTGTCTTCGCCCCGCTCACCCGAGCCCGGGCCCAGCCTCTCTCCAGGCAGCCACCAGGCCCTGCACCTGCTCAGAGTCCGTCAGCCTCCCAGCCGCTCTCCTGAGCTCTCTGGGGTCTTCCCTGTTCTTCCGGTCGCTTTGTTTCACCTTGCTCAGCTCCGGTCCCTGGTCCGTAAAGAGGAAAGATTAATCACACCGTGCGGGTGGTTGTGGCGATTCAGCAGACCCCGCTCCTGAAGTGCGGCACTCTCAGGGCCCAGTCCACGGCCTTCCCACGCTTCTGCTCCCGGAGGAGGGAACAGTTCAAGGTCACAGCTGGTTAACCAGGGGGAACCCAGCGCCGGGCGCCGCCCCTTCTCACACTTGCCCTCGGGTCCAAGGCCGCCCGCCTCGCTTCTGCACACCCGAACCTCGCTCCCGGGCCCACCTCTACCACCAGTGAAAGCCTGATTCTTTTCCCTTCTGGAAAATGGCTTGAGCTTCAGTCAAGGCTTCTATTTATTTTAGTTTTTAATTTTTTGGTACTGGGGATCAAACCCAGAACTTTTGCACTGAGTTAAATCCTTAACATTCTCTCTCTCTCTCTTCCTTCCTTCCTTCCTTGCTTCCCTCCCTCCCTCCTTCCTTTATTTCCTTTCTTTTTTGGTACCTGGGATAGAACTCTGTACCTTGCGATTTCGAGGCAGGCAGGGGAACCACTGAGCTAAATCCCCAGCCCGTGCCCTTTCTTTTTGAAACAGTCTCGATAAATCTCAAAGTTGCCCAGGCTGGGCTCAAATGGGCGACCCTCCTGCTTCAGCCTCCACAGTGCTGAGATGACAGGCAAACGCCACCACGCCAGAACGATCAAGACTTCTACCGTCAAGAGCAAGGCAGGGAGACAGAGGGCGCTGCTCTGGAGGAGTAAAGGTTAGAGGTGCCTCTGGACACACACCGTTCAGCCCGGGAGAAGGTGCGGCCCGCCTTCCTGTGGTTTGCATTCCAGCGCAGCCGCCGCCAGCTGCTCTGCCCCGAGCCTGGGGCGCGGGTCTCAGGTGAGCGCGCCGGCCGGGCGTGGCCTGGCGTTTAGGGGGCCGGGGGCGGGCGGGGCGCAGGATCGCCGGCTGCGCAGGGGCTGCGGGTGTTCGCGGAGGCGCCTTCTCTGCGCGGGCGCGGTCGGCGGCGGGATGCGGGGTCCGCGCGCGGCCTGGCTGCTGGGGGGCGCCCTCCTGCTGGCCGCCGCGGCCTCGGGCAGCAGCGCGGGGCCAGGTGAGCGGGGGCGGGGTGGGGGCGGCGAGCGGACGACCCCGGACCCGGCCTCTGGCTCGGCGCCCCCGCAGCCCACGGTGGGGCGGCCCGCGGTGGAGGAGCTGGGTGTGACGGTCGGCCCGGGCTTTCTGGCTATTTGGGCGCCGAGTGAATTCACGGGTGGCCCTTCTTGGACCTGCCTTGCATTTCTTTTTAATGCCCCTTCCTTCCTCCCTTTTGAACCCAGGGGCTCAGCGCTGAGTTGCATTCCCAGCGCCTTTCCTTTATTTACTCTTAAATTCCTTTTATTTTGAGGCACGGCCTCGCTGTGTAGACCAGGCTGCTCCGGAACTTGCTGTCTCTCCGCCTGCCTCAGCCTCCAGTGCTGTGGTTACGGGTGACCTCCGGTCGGCAGTGGGGTCCCAGGCCCGCCCTTCCCTTCACCTGGAGCGCGCACTGGAGGCCACTGTGGGACGCGGCCTCAGCCTGGGAACAGTGGCCAGGAGGAGTTTGGGCGGCGCCCGGTGCCCAGTGCCCGCTGCCGGCCTCCCCCGGCCGCGCGGGCGGTCGTGTCCCCCGGGTGTGCCCGAGTTGGAGTCGCCCGGTGCCATGGCCCGCGCTGGCTGAGGGCTTAAAGCTCGGCGCCGGGTGTGCTAAGCCTCCACCATGGGAGGGAGGCGCAGCCTGGGTGTCCTTACAAGGAGGCTTGAATTTCCCCGAGATCCGCAGGCCAGCTGTGAAAAGCATCTCTCACTTTTACCCTCTTTCCGAAGACTTCGTAAAAGAGCACGTAAATTAGATCGGAGACTGTCAGGAGCAATGCACCATAATTTTAGGGGAAATCATTCGGTTAGCCTAGTTCTCCTGCCTACAACCCAGCTATGGCATTTTGAGTCATAATTCCATTTTGGCCCCCGGTCACAACTGAGGCCTCAGTGATCCCGTGATGCTGTCTGTGATTCTTCAGGGCAAGATTTCACCAGCTGAAGACACCCTAGGAGGAACAAATTCTTCATCTACTCAGTTCCTCATTGTTCTTGGATTCCTGCCCCCCCCCCGTCTTTTGTTACATTTGTTACCTTTGTTACATTTGTTTCTTCCGAGGTACTGAATAAAAGGTGCAGCAAGCTCAGGGCTTTGTCTTTGCTGCCCAGAGCAGCACTGAGCAGGCCTAAATCTCAGCTTCTCAGTCTCATTTTTTCTACCTTTCCTGTATAATTCGCCTTGTGCTGCCGTGGCTCGCAGGAGACTAGGACTCACTGCAGAGGTCCTGGGCCTTTTCCTCTCTGGAGCTAAGAAAAAGGGTGTTAGGGTGTGAGCTTGAACCTCCCCTCTGCTGGTCTAAATATAGGTTTTTATATCAAGTCTGGAAGTAGTGAAACTTACTAACATCTGTCCATTGGCCTGTGTCTTTTAAAGTCTGGAACTCTTAAGAATCCAGGCGCAAAAGTCACGTATGCGAATGTGAGAGTGGGCGCAGGTGATTCACCGCCTGCCCGGTGATGGTGATTCAGGTGGTTTCGGCGGGAACCGCCCCATTACCGGCTCATTCTTGTTGGCTGTTTATCAGGTAGGGGCTGGGGACCCTGGAGTACAGAGCGAGCTTGACTTTAGCAGAAAAGGAAGATCCGGTTACTTGTTAACCAGACCTCTTGAATATCGCACCTTGGTTATTTTTCTTTCCTCCCTGTATACATGGACCTTTGCAAGGTAACCTTCCTGTGTGAGGTTGGACTAGTGAGGCAGATTTCAGGTGCCTGAGCTTCCCTCCCAAAGTGACACAGAATTGATTTCCATCAGGACGAGGGCTTTGCTCATCCCCTTCCTCCGCGCTGAAGGGCAGATTGGGTTTGGTTTTCTTCCCCAGAGCCTCATCCCAAAGACTGCACAATGCAAAGGACTCGACCTAAGAGCAACCTCATTTTAGGCGGGGGACACCAGTTGGGGGAGCAAGGCAGGGAAAGCCCTCTCCGCTCTGGGTGGCCTCTCAGTGGCCCTGGATGACTGTTCATGTAAATGTGCTTAATCTCTCTCCCCCTGGTCTTCAACCCCAGAGGCTGGGAGCTGCCCTGCTGTCTCCATCCCCAGCGTGTGGCACCTGCAGAGCCTCTGAATGGCAGATGAAGGACCAGGCATGGGGGTGTGGCCTGCAGTCCTAGCCACTGGGAGGCTGAGGCTGGAGGGTCGCAAGCTTGAGCCCAGTCTGGGCAATTTAGTGAGACTGTCTCAAAAACTAAAAAGGGCCGGGCATGAAGCTCAGGGGGAAGGCCCTGAGTTCAGTCCCCAGTGAGGAGGAGGAGGAGGAGGAGATGGAGATGATGAAGGTGAAGCGAGGGCGCCTGCCCAGAAGGAGAGATGACAGACTGGTGCAAGCAAGTGTGGCACTGAAGTCAGACTTTCAGACACTTTTTTCTCTGTACTATGTTACAGGACACGGAGGTTTCTCTTTTGGAGATTGTAACTTTTGTCCTGGTCACAGTTGGTATTTTAATTATAAAGCTGTATGTGATCACTGTAGAGGAAAAAAAGGAAAAAATTCAATGAAGTCACCCCAGAACTCAATACCAAAATAGCACTGCTAACATTTTTGGTTTTTATCTTCTCTCTTGCTTTCATATATCCATGCATAAAATAATGTATTCAAAACATATAATTTTTTTGTACAAGTATGAGGATATATAGGTTCATCAGTAGCGTGCATATATATAGCTGGGTGGAATGGTTCACGCCTATAATCCCAGCACTGAGTCTGGAGGCTGAAGCAGGAGAATCGCTGCAAGGTTGAGGCCAGCCTGGCCTACATAGTGAGTTCAAGGACGAGACCATTTCCAAAAAACAAAAACAACCAGGGCCGGGGGCTGCCACCTGTCTCGCAAGTGCAAGGTCCCAAGTGCAGTCTCTGGTACCAAAAACAAACACACACCATCTGTTACGGGAGGATGTATCATTATTGTCAGTTTAGGGATGTGTCCAGTGTTGTGTAAAAGGAGAGAACCCTAATGAACGGGAAGAGGGCCCCTTTCTTGCCTCGGAGTTACTAGTTAACCTTGGCAGGCAGCATCTCGTGAAGTCTGTGTTTGGCTTTCTTGGCGTTTTGTTAGCTGGGCGAGCATGGAGGGAAACGGCCCACCCTGCAAGAACGGTTATAAAATCAACGGACAGTGTCTCTGGGAGGGCACCCGGCAATGGAAACCTTTTCTCTCTCAGCTGTGGTCCTGAAGGTTGGGAGCAGAGGGATTTTGGGGTGAGGGTCTGTGAAGACCGGGTGGGGAGAGAGCTTGCTCAGGTGAAGTACTCGATCGTACGTGGTTTGCTGGGGACCCTGGACCCGCTCTCAACTAGAAGCCCTGTGTACAAAGAGTAATTTTACACAATGGATGGAGCACCTTGTACAGACTGTCCTGTAATTTATTTGTTTATTTTTACCCAATAAGTCTGTTCATGGTCAGTGTATCCAAATCAATCCATGCTTTTATAGAAGAACTGTAAATGTCGAATTACTAAACTGGTCCACCACCCCTCCTCCCTTTGCGGTACTGAGATTGAATGCAGTGCCCATGCACTGAGCTTCATCCTCAACACTTTATTTTTTATTTTGAAACAGGAACTTGGTAGGTTACCCAGGCAGGACTTGAACTTGGGATCCTCTGCTTCTGCTTCCTAGAGTGCTGGGATTTGGGGCATGTACCTCCACACCCATCTTAGTTCCTCTCTCCATAGGTGTTGAGAGTAACATTTGTTTTACTATGAAAAACAATGGCAGCATAAATATTGTACATTTAGTAGCAGTGGTGGCCGACAATCCTGGAACAATGAGGAACTATGTAGGTGAAGTTTTTGTTCCTCCCAGGATGTCTTCAGCTGGTGTAATCTTCTCCTGGAGAATCACAGCATCACCGGATCACTGAGGCCTCAGTTGTGACCGGGGGCCAAAATGGAATTATGTCTCAGAGTGCCATAGCTGGCCTACAGGAGGAGAACCAGGCCTAACCAAATGATTTTCCCCCAAAATTATGTAGCATTGCTCCTGACACAGCTCATATGAGGTTTTCAGTTTTTCAGTACTGGGGATCAAACCTTGGGCTTCACACTGAACCATTTTAAATTTTGAGACAGGGCCTGACTAAGTTGCCCAGGCTGGGCTTGAATTTGCAACCCTCCTGCCTCAGTTTCCCAGAGTGCTAGAATCACAGACATATACCCAACTTATTTATTTTAATTTAGGGTTAGATTGCCTACACATAAGAAAAAACATGTTATATTTGTTTATTTGTTTTTTGGGGGGATACTGGGGATCGAACTCAGGACCTTGCGCTTGTGAGGCAGGCAGCAGCACCACTGAGCTACATCCCTGGCCCGAAACATGTTAGGCTTAAGTTGCCAAATGAGACTGGCTCTTTTTGCTCCACCAGAGGGCCTACGCTTCTATCCATTTCCTGGAAAGACACAACCCTGTTCTTCTCTGTGACTGGATAATACTCCCTTGTGCGTGTAGGCCGCGTTCCCCTCGTCCACGCATCTTGTTGGTGGGCAGCTAGGCTGTTTGCACAGTTCAGCTCTTGTGAGTTCTGCTGCTATAAAAAACCTGGGTGTGCTGCCATCACTGTAGTATGCGGCCTTTAATTCTTTCGGGAACGCAGTCTACTAGCGGGATCACATGGTAGGTCTCGTTTCAGCTCTGTGGGGAATCGCCACCCTGATTTCCACAGTGGATTTGCCTTCCCACCAGCAGCGTGGAAGGGCTCTTGCTCCCACACTTCTTGCCAGCATTTTTCCTTTCCTTCCCCCCTTCCTCCCTTCTTCCCTTCTTCCTTTCCTTCCTTCAGTAGTCCAGGCTGGCCTTACACTGGTGTTGATAGTTCTGCCTCAGCCCCCCGCAGCAGCCCTGGGATTGGGCAGGTGTGGTGGCCTCTCGTGTTCTTGATGACAGCCTTTCTGAGCTGTGAGATGGAATCTCCTGTGCTTTTGGTTTGCATTTCCCTAATGGCTCCTGGGGCCTATGCTGGAAGCCTTTGCCTGTGCCTATGGCTTCTAGTGTTCCCCCTGTGCTTTCTTCTAGCAGTTTCAGAGTTTCAAGTCTTATCTTTACTTCTGTGATCCTTTTTGACTTGATGTTAGCATGGGAAGAGGTAAGGATCTCTTCAATCTTCTGCATGCTGACGGCCAGTTTTCCCAGCACCGTTTGTCAAAGAGGCCGTTTGTTCTCCAGCGTATGCTTTTGGCTCCTTTGTCAATAATCACATGGCTGTGGGTGCATGCGTTTGTTTTTGTGCCAAGACTATGCTGTTTTTTTTGTTTTTTATGTATCACTATGGCTTTGTAGTATCATTTGAGATCCTGTATTGCAAGGGCTCCATCTTTGATTTTTTTTGGTCTTTTGAGACAAGGTCTCACCATGTAAATGAGGCAAGTCTTGAATTCGCTATAGCCCAGGCTGGCCTCAGACTCACAGTGATGCTCCTGCCGCAATCTTCTAAGTGTTGGGACTACAGGTGTACGCCACCACAGCATGCCAGTTTTGCTTTTTTGCTTAGAATTGCTTTGGCTATTCGTGGTCTTTTGTGTTTCTATGTGAGTTTTGCTTTGTTTTTGGCTTTTTGAGATAGGATTTCCACTGTGTAACTCAGGTTGCCCTTGAACTCATTTTGTAGCTAGGCTGGCCTGGAACTCATAGTGATCTTCCTGCCTCAGCCTCCCAACTGCTGGGACTGTATATGTGCACCACCTTGCCTAGCTTTATTTCCATATGAATTTTAGGATTTACTTTTTCTACTTCTGTGAAGAATGGTGTGGGTATTTTAGGATCCCACCGAATCTTTAGATGGCTTTTGGCCATAGGGTCATTTAGACAATATTATTTCTGGCCCAGCATGGTGGCACATGCCTGTGATCCCAGCACTTGGGAGGCTGAAGCAGGAGAATCCCCATGAGTTCGAGGCAAGCCTGGGCAACATAGTGAGTTCAAGGCCAACCTGAATTACATAGTGAGACCCAGTCTCAAAAAACAAAACAAAAAGAAACAATATTAATGCTGATTCATGAACAAGGGTGGTCTTTACATTTCCTAACATCTTGTTTCTTTTGTCAGTGTTCTGTAATTTCCATTATAGAGGTCTTTCACCTTTTAGGTTAGGTTGATTCCTAGATATATACTTTTTAAGCTATTGTGAATGGGATTGTTTCCCTAAATTTTTCTTGGTGGGTTCATTCTTGGTGTGTATAGGAAAGCTGTTGATTTTTGTGTGTTGATTTTGTATCCTGCCACTTGGTTAACTTGCTTATTAGAGCTGAGAGTGTTCTGATGGGGTTTTTAGGGTGCCCATGTAAAGATCGTATCATGTGCTAATTGGGGTAATTTCACTTCTTCCTGTCCTATTTGTGCCCCCCTTTTTTCTCCTGCCTGAATTCGCTGGTTACAATTCAAATACTGTGTTGATCAGCAGTGGTGAGAGTAGACGCCCTTGTCTTATTCCTGATTTTAGGGGAAATGCTTTCATTTCCGTGTTACTTTTAACAGCTTTATTAAATCATGCAGTTGCAACTGTAGGCTCACTCATTTAAAAAGTACAGTTGGGTGGCTGTTAGTGTATTCATACTGCACCATCGCCAGAGCCAATTGAGAACCTGTTCATTATCTGAAGAGAAACACCTTGGCTGTGACCGGTCACCTGACAATGGCTCATTGGATTTGCCTATGCCAGTCATTTTATATAAATGGAACAATACGTGTTCCTCTGTGACCGATTTCTTTTACTCATCCTACTTTTTTTTAGGGTTCTTCTATGTTATATCATGTATCAATGCTTCATTTTCTTTATTTTTATTATATATAGTTTTTGAGACAGAGTCTCACTGTGTTGCCCAGGCTGGTTAAATGCTTGGGTTCAAGTGATTTTTCTGTTTCAGTCTCCTGCATGCCAAGACTATAGGAATGTACCACCATGCTCAGCTATAATACTTCATTTCTTTTTGTTGCCAAGTAATATTTCCTTGTGTGGATATATTTCATTTTATTTATTCATCCATTGATACAAATCTGGGTGGGTTTTTTTCAGTACCGGGGATCGAACTCAGGTCCTTGCGCTTGCGAGGCAGGCGCCGGAACCACTGGGCTAAATCCCCAGTGCTGGGTTGTTTTTATTTTTGACTATTGTAAATGTTGCTCTGAGTATTTGAGTAGAAGTTTTTGTGTGGATGCATGTTTTATTTCTCTTGGGTATATACCTAGGAATGTAGTGAGTCACATGGTAGCTCTCTTTAACCATCTGAGGAACTGCCACTGTCTGAAGTTTCCAGGCACTGAAACAAATCCCAGATAAAATTTCATCCTAAGATATTTTAGCATATATCCATAAGAGATAAGAATTTCTTTTTAAACATACCCACAGCACAGTTATAGTACAGTGTTACAGAGTAACAGTAATTTCTTAGTACTGTAGCATCAAATTTCAGTCAGTGTTCACATTTCTAATGGTCTCCTACATGTTATTTTAGTGGCTTATTTGAATCAAGCTCCAAGGAAGGTGCACACATTATATAACTGATGCATCTTTTCAATCCGTTAGTAAATTTCACGTCTGTACCTCTCTCTCCCCATCTTTTCTTTTTTTTCCTTGTAAATTATATTTTGGAATTGGGTCCTTTATCCTGTAACACTTCCCACAGCCCGAGTTTTGCTGGCTACATCCTAGGCATGTTACTGAACATCTCTTCCCAGAGCTGATGCTAAAGGACTCACACGACAGCCCTAGAACAGGACACAAGTGTGTCATTTGCACATCCACTTGTTCAATGACCTTGAGACCAGAAGGCCACCATCCGGCCTCCACGTGAAGGTCCTCGGGAGGCCAGCACAGCAGCTCAGAATCCCTGCCTATTTTAGAGAACATCCATGTGGTGGGGAGGTACTGTCCCCTCATGATGTTGGGAGTTGCCCTGTGCAGAGCTCTGAGATGGGGTCACTGAAAGCCAGGCCGGCCCCTGACTCTGGGCTGGTGGGACAGGGAATCTGAGCCGGGCTTCTGTCTTACACCCACCCTAGTGAATTTGGCACCGTCCTAAACTGATGGTTGCTAACTGACTGTTGATGGACATGTGCTAAAACAGCTGAGGACCAATGAGTGTGCGAAGTTTATTAAAAAGATGAATTGAAATACTTCCAATCTTTTCCAGATTCCTAAAAATCAGTTTTCCACGTGTTCCCTACAATCCTCCAGTAAAGGACACTCTCCCCCCAAGGAAGTCCCTAGCCAGATGCATTTTGTGTAATCCACCAATGGTACATCTCTGCCCTCATCTGAATATTTTCATGTGAGTGAAGCAGCCCTACCTCTGAAACACTGATTTTGATAAATGACACTTTTGCCTGCCTTTCAGCTGTGGGAGTCAACAGAACCTCCAGGGGCAGAAGTCTCATCGGAAAGATCCAGGACAATGACCTTCTGGTCACCAAAAAAGGAGTCACGGTGGCCCCCGGATTTGGAGTGGATGAGTTCGCCGCATCCATCCTCACCGGAAAGCTGACGACCGTCTTCCTCCCAGTGGTCTGCACAATCGTGTTTGTGGTCGGCTTGCCTAGCAACAGCATGGCGCTCTGGGTCTTTTGTTTCCGAACGAAGAAGAAGCATCCCGCCGTGATTTACATGGCCAACCTGGCCCTGGCGGACCTCCTCTCAGTCATCTGGTTCCCCCTGAAGATCGCCTATCACGTACACGGCAACAACTGGCTTTACGGGCAAGGCCTCTGCAAGGTGCTTATCGGCTTCTTCTACGGTAACATGTACTGCTCTGTTCTCTTCATGACCTGCCTCAGTGTGCAGCGATACTGGGTCATCGTGAACCCCATAGTGCACCCCAGGAAGAACACAAACATTGCCATCGGGGTTTCTGTGGGAATATGGCTGCTGATTCTGCTGGTCACCATCCCCTTGTATGTCATGAAGCAGACCATCTACATCCCAGCCCTTAACATCACGACCTGTCACGACGTCCTTCCCGAGGAGGTGCTGGTGGGGGACATGTTCCACTACTTCCTCTCCCTGGCCGTTGGCCTCTTTCTGTTCCCGGCCCTCCTCACAGTGTCTTCCTATGTGCTCATGATCCGAGCACTCCGATCTTCTGCCATGGATGAACACTCGGGAAAGAAAAGGCACAGGGCCGTCAAGCTCATCATTACCGTCCTGGTCATGTACCTCGTCTGCTTCACACCTAGTAACCTTCTACTCGTGGTGCATTATTTCCTAATTAAGAGCCGAGGCCAGAGCCATGTGTACGCCCTGTACATCACCGCTCTCTGCCTGTCCACCCTCAACAGCTGCATTGACCCCTTCATCTATTACTTTGTCTCTCAAGATTTCAGGGATCACGCCAAGAATGCTCTCCTGTGTCGCAGCGTCCGCACTGTGAAGCGGATGCACATCTCCCACACCTCCACGAAATTCTCCAGGAAGTCCCGCCCTTATTCTTCAAGTTCAACCAGTGTTAAAGCTTCCTCCTGAGCTTCCCCACTCCACAAGCAGAAGCTTCCTTCCTGGGGAGGGGCTGGTGTTTCCTACCATGCAGCTTCTCCCAGGACTGCTGGGGGCTTCGCTGCCTGCAGGGGAACAGCTCCTCATGTTAACCCAGACAGCAGTGTCAGACTCTGCTACTCAGATGGCCTGGAAACTGATCTGACCAAAGCAGATTTTTTTAGAAGGTGGTGAAAAGACAGAAACCTGTCATGCAGAAACTACACCTAGCATGAAGACGAGGCTTCCAGTTGAAAGTAATTTTTCTAAATCTGAGGTCCAGCCGAGCCTTGTTAGGGCTCAGGGCCCCAGAGAGCATCTCTCCAATTCACCGGCTTTCCAGATGAGGAAGCTAACTTGGTAAATGGGCTGCTGGAGTCAGAATCCCAGCTAATGGCAGGGAGCTCCGGAAGGGAGCTCTGGCAGGACAGCAGAACCCACAGGTCCAGTGAGTGGCTCTAGATTCTTCACCGAAGTTGGCAAGGGTTGTGATAAATGCAGGCTCCTTGGGCGGGTGAGGACAGCTCAGTCCACGGGAACCAGGTCCTCTACAAGGCTTGTGCTGTCCATGCGTGAGAAAGCCCGAGAACCTTTGGCCTGAGAGCTTTCCACTTGACAGGCTGCCACAATGGTTTCTGAAAAGAAAAGCTAAGAAGAACGTTTCACATCTCTTACTGTTCCGCTTGTAATGAAATTTGTTGTTGATGTACTAGGACCCTCAGTTATTTCTTTATTATTCCTTTAAGCTTTTGCCTGTGTTATTATCCTAGAAAAATTTGTGGATCTTAAACATGGTAATCAACTTTGTTATAAGATCTTACTAACCACAGTCTGAGTAATACACTTAGCTTTACAACTAAGAGGGATATTTACCACTTAGTATTTTTTTTTTTTTTGGTACCGGGGATCGAACTCAGGTCCTTGAGCTTGCAAAGCAGGCAACAAAACCACTGAGCTAAATCCCCGGCCCCCTACCACTTAGTATTTTTAAAAGTTATTGTTGGGATATTTATTGTCAAGTTTTGTTCACTTGTTACCGAATAGGAAATTACAGAGTCTTCACAGGGTTAGAACCACATTCATTTGGGAAACAGCGTGAACAGAAAGGGCTTGCAACGTGTTTAAGAGGTACTTGACTCCAAAGGGATTACACACCTGCTGTACTTGTGACTTTTAAAAATTGTTTTATTGTATGATTGGTTTATAAATAATACACTGCTTTATTTTACAACTTATATGTGAGCTGTGTGTTTTGTTTGTTTGAAGGAAGGAGTAGGGGGAAGACAAGCAGCTGCATTGCTCTTCTAAAAACAAATGTGATTCTCACACCTTTTGTTTTTCATTGCTGGGATCAAACCCAGGGCCTTACACATTCACATAATACGTTTTACGTGAACAAAATGACTGTACATATTGCTGTGCAACAACTGTTTTCCACTTAGGAATATGTTTTAGCTGGGAGCGGTGGCTCACGCCTATAACCTCAGCATCCTGGGAGGCTGAGGCAGGAGTACCAGGAGTTCAAGCCCAGCCTGGGAAACTTAGGGACCTAGTCAGATCCAGTCTCAAAGTAAAAATAAAAAAGAACCCTGGGGATGCAGCTCAGCAGAAAGGCCCTGGGTTTAATGCCCAATACTGCCAAGAAAAAAAGTTTTACAATTCTTTCCGTAACTATTTCTATAGGTTGACTTTTTTTTTGGTACCAGGGATCGAACTTGGGACCTTGCGCTTGCAAAGCAGATGGTGGGGTTGACTTTGATTTTTAAAGGAGATGAACACCGGCTACTTAATGATTTGGATGTATTACAATATCATTAGTCATTTCCCTCCTTGATGGCGCCTTAAATAGTCCTGGTCTCTTTTTTTCCTTCTTTTTATTGGGTAGTATTGGGGATTAGGCCTAGGGAACACTGAGCAACATCCCCAACAACCCCCCCCCTTAATTTATTTTACCCACTTGCTATTTACTTTTTTGTTCATTTTGTGGTACTGGGGATTGAACCCAGGGTTGCTCTACCCTTGACGGACAGCCTCAGCCATATATATATATATATATTCATATATATAGAGAGAGATATATATATATTTTTTGGGTACCAGGGATCGAACTCAGGATCTTGTGCTTGCGACACAGGCAGCGGAACCACTGAGCTAAATCCCCGGCAGCCATATATATTTTTTAAGGTTTTGTTTTTCTTTTTTTTTAAAAGACAGGGTCTCACTATGTAGTTCAGGCTGGCCTTGAATTCAGCACTTCTCCTGCCTCAGCCTCACAAGTGCTGGGATTACAGGTGTGTGCTCCAAGCCTGCCTTTTAAGTTTTAATAATTACTGTTATTATTGTACTAGGGATTGAATTTAGGGCCTTTTCACTGAACTATATCCCAAACCCTTCTTAAATTCTTTTTTTTTTAAATTTTGAGACAGGTCTAAGTTGCTAAATTGCTCAGGCTAGACTTGAACTTGTGAGCCTTCTGCCTCACCTCCCGGAGTGCTGGGATTACAGGCGTACACTATAATGTGTGTGTATAGACATTTGTGAGAGTGTCTTTTGGAAATTGTTTCTGGAAGTAGAATGATCAGGTCAAAAGTCAGATATCTATTTTAGGGCTGAGTTTAGCTCCGTAGCAGGGCACCCATCTGGCACGTACCAGGTCCGGAGTTGAGTCTCCGAGGTGAAGAGAGCGGAGGGTGGGTTACATGTCTATATCACATTTTGGTAACTTTTGCCAAATTGTGCTACTACCAAGACAGTATGTTAACAACTGATTTCTGAAATGTTCATCCACGCTTGATGCCATCAAATTTTGGAAAAAAATTTTTTGGTACTGGGGATTCAATCTGCCAGGCAAGCTCTACCGCTGAGCTACGTCCCCTAGCCTTTTGTAAAATTTTATTTTGAGACAAAGTCTTGCTAAGTTGCCTAGGCTGGCTTCAAATTTGTGATCTTCCTCCCTCAGCCTCCCAGGTTACTGAGATAGCAGGTGTGTAGCACCGTGCCCAGAAATCTTTGTAAATTGTGCTAGTCTGACTGGGGGGGAGAATCTCATTGTTTGAACTGTATGTGGTGGTGCACGACTGTAATCTCAGCACTTTGGGATACCTGGTATCAAATTAAAAAAGAAGTGGGAGTATAGCTCTGTGTGACTGCCCTACATTCAATCCCCCATACAAACAAAGAACATATGCATTGTTTGAGTTGTGTGGAAGAAGCTGCTCACACACCTCTTCCTCACAGGTGATAAAGACAGATCTGGGGCTCGTCTGTGCTCTCACAAGTATTATGCAGCGTGACTACTATTACGATACCCCTCCCCAAGGCTTCACTTCCCACAGTTGAGTTGCCCAAAGCCAAACTGATGTCTGAAAACATCAAGTGGAAATTCCGGAAATAAGCAATTTGTAAGTTTTAAATTGCATACCATTGGAGCGGCGTGATGGGATCTCGCGCTGGGTGAATTGCCCTTTTGTTCTGGGACCCAGGCTGTGTGCCCTACGCTGCGGTGACTCCATGATCAGAGGGGCTGGTCATCAGCAGTGTTGCAGCCCCTGTATCCAAGTAACTTAATGATGACCCCAACTGAGGGCCTCTTAGGTGAAAGGGTGAAAGTAAATGAAGATACTATGAGGGAAGAGACCACACTCACATACTTTTATACAGTACATCGTGTCATTGTTCTAGTTTTCACTGTTGCCATGAATCCCTCCTGTGCCTCACTGGCGCACCGCGTCATGTGCGTCTGTGCAGGGAACCAACAGACCATGTAAATGGTGCGGGGCTATTGCAGCTCCCGAAGGCTGGCATAGAGAGCCGCCGTGTTCTCGGATGTTCACGGGTCTCCTTCCTGCTCTGCCCCTTTCCCTTCAGTACCCTTGTACGTCATGCTTTCTTTGCTGTTGATTGCCGTGCTCAAAATAAAAAATGGAAAAGAAGGCTGGGGAATGTAGTTCAGTGCAAAGGTTCTGAGATCAATCCCCAGTTCCCCACGCCCCCACCATAAAGGGGTCCCTGTATAGAAGAGCCAGGGGAGTGCAGAGTATCCAAATTCTTGGATATTTGGGATTCATCCTTCAGAAACATCAAACAATATGACATATAACACAAAAGCAGAGACTAACACGTCTGAAGTTCTCCCCTGCTCAGGCCAGTCTCTCCTCCCTCCAATCAGGGGTTTCTTCAACCTTCTAACTCAGGTGAACTGGAGTTCCCCAAATCCCCTGTCAAAAGCAGAAATAATTTCTACCTTGAAAGCTTTTGCTTTTTGCAAACCTGCTTATGGTTCTGTCTGTCTATCTATCATCTGTCTAACACAGTGTTAGGGATGGAACCCATGGTCTATGCATTCCAGGCAAGTACTCCCAACACTGTTATACCTCCCCCCATCAGTTTTTGGAGGGCTTAGGTGGGTAGTACTGGTATTGAACCCAGGACCTTCACACTGGGCTATATCTCCAGCTATTTGAAAATAATTTTTAATTTTTTTGAACATAGAACAGTGAACACCTTTATTACGTGAGCTAAGCCAGGAGGGAGGGTGACTTATTGGCCTTTCCGGGCCTTGATTTTCCTCACAGAGAACTCGGGCTCCTTGTCCTCTAGCACAGCCATCTGCTCGGCCACTCCAGCATGGTCTCGATGTTGGCACTAGTCTCGGAGAGACTGCGGATTTTGGCTTGGCGTTCTTTTTCCTCTCACCATACTTTCTTTCTCACTAATTTGTCCAGGCTTGACTAGAACTTTCAGTCCTGCCTCAGCGCCCAAAGTGCTGGGCTTGTAGGTGTGCACCACCTCAACCAGCTAGAGGGCCGTGTTAGTTTGAAAGTAACAGTAGATTTGCTGCCTTGCTTTCCAGAACCCAAATGCTAAGCTGACTCAGTGGCAGACGTTTTACTGGGTATTTCTTTGTGTGCCGCTTCAGTTCTCTGCAGCAGGAGATTCAGACTTGCAATTAATTTCCTGGTTTTCAAGATTTCCTGGACCCTGGGGCTCTCTGATGTCATCAGTGTGCATAATTTAGTAATTATAGCTTCATTTCTGAGCCTTTAGTCCTTTGAAGGGATGTATTATAGAATCAGATCACAGCTGCTGCTCTGGTCTTTTCAAAGGGAAGCTTCTGATCCTACAGGAGCTGAAGGTGGGTGTCCAGGCCTTCCCTGATCCCCAGTTTCAAAGAGCCAAGGTCAAATGGCTCCCTGTCATTCAAGCCTTGAAACTTCTTCGGGGTGGCTGTTACACTGATTTGTGAACACTGGGAGTCACCCAGAGCACACCGAGGAGGTGCCCTGGGGAAGTGCGGGTCTGAGCTGCTGTGGTCTCTACTGGTCTGTCCATCCGAGCAGAGCACCTCCCACCTCTGAGAGATGAGGCATGCCGAGCTCCGTGCCGCCCCCTCCTGCAGAAACCTGCAGACATCGGCGGAGCCTGTGGGCTCTGCCAGCAACTCCAGCAAACCAGCAGCTCCTGCCAGCAGTGCGAGGGGCTCCTTCATCCATCCCACGACGTTCTTTGCCACATCGCTGCAACGTTAAATGCCAAGAATTAAATCAGTTCCTGCTGAACAGCGTTCTCGTCACGGAGCTGATCTTCTCAGTGAAGCACACGGATGATAAAAACAGCAGAGAAACCCAACCCTCTGGTACACAGGTGGCGAACCTGTGGCAGGCGTGCCCAGTGGGTTCTTTGTTACCACTGAAAGCTCCTCTAAAGGTTTTGCCATCACTGCTTTAGTATTTGGCTTCCCACAACTTTTAAAGCATTGCCCCATTCCAAAGCTAGGTCTTGAGAGTGGCAGAAATCAAAGACAGCACAAAAGGCCAGGGTTCACAAGGGCTACTATTGTGGCTGACCTCTCCAACTGTGCTTTCTCACACTGATTTTCAGTACTGAGGTTGAACCCAGGGCTTCCTGCATAGAGGCAAGTGCTCTGCCACTCAACTACCTCCCCCCATCCTGAATTCCTTTCACCTGCAATAAAACCCTAAAAGTAATAAAAGGTGCACATAAAAAGAATCGAGACTATAAGAACATACTGCAGTGTGCAAAATGGATGTAGCTCCCCCTCTGTGCCCACACTGGAGCTCAGGGAGCCCCCTGTGTCCCCTGAGATGTTTCCTACGTGAGTACCTGTTTTTTAAGTATAAAAGATGAGTTGGACTCTGTACTAGTTATATGTATACATGAATTACCTCAGAATGTGGAGGCCTAACCCACACTAAGCATTTACTAACCTGCAAGG